TTTATTTTGTGTTTCTTTTTGACTCGATTTTAATTTCCCTGTAATTTTTTTTTTCTTTCCGTCTCTGTGTGTGTGTATGTGCTCTTCTTTTCACCCTTATTTCTCCACGCCCGGGGGTAGTTGCGTTGGGTTGTGACAGTTGCCGTGCCCAGGTGTGAAGACTCCCGAGCTGCCCTGGACCTTAGGTAAACTTCTCCTCGCCCTGTGTGCAGCTCCTCGCGCCCACTCGGGCTCTCCCTGCTGTTCCAGCCAGTCTCTAATGGTCCTTCTGCCTTTCAGCACACTCTTGTCCCTTTGGGCTGGCCACGTGCATTTGGCCTCCGTCCCTCTTTCCTTTCCTTTTCCTTTTTTTTTTTTCTCTCTAAGAGGAGAAAAACCAAATCAGGATTCAGTGAGTGTTTTCCCATTTCTTGCATTTCATTTATCCATCACCAAGTGTTGACGTGAGTAGGGAAGGGCGGCAGTGCCGTGACGGATGATGCTGATAAAGCACTGCAGTGTTTTACCAGCATCCGTCCGGCTTGCTCCAAAGGGGGGGAACTTGTTGTTGTACCCGGGCAGCTCCATCAGCCGAAAGGACCCAGGTTAGAGCAGGGGCTTGGGAATTCAGAGCCTGATGGAGAGGGGCACGTTCTCAATGTCATCAGCATCAGGGGTTTTCCCTGGACGCTACAGTGCAAAACATTGCCCTTAATTTTCCACTTCACACTGTGCTGCAGCCCGGGCAGGGCTGTGCATCCCTTTGTGGTGTGTTTTGGGGGCTGCCCGGATCTCTCTGGGTTTGTACAGGAGTCAGCAATGTTGGTTAGATATTCCTGCAGCTTCATGGTTTTTTGGGGCTCCTTGTGGACCCTACTCCTTGCGATGCGGAGCTGTTGTCCAGCACCGGGTTGTGCCAGTGCAGGTGTGAATCAAAATCCCTCTGTGTTTTATCTGTGCGGTGCCTTTTAGCCCTCCAGAAGACGATGTGCATACATTTCCCAGGGTAAGCATTAGCCCATATTTCAAATGCAGCGGCCAGTCTGTTAATCCATCTTAAAAGCCTGTTGGAAGTCACATTGTCGTGGTCAGTAAGTTTTCGTTGGATTCATTCCCAGTGTGTGTCTGATCGGTTGTTTTTTTTTTCCCCTAAAGAGATTTATGAACTGACTTCAAGATTTTGCTTTAAGAAAAAAACAAAAACTATCCCAACCACCCAACGAAATGGAACCAAATTGTTTCCCAATAGCATTAAGCCCACTCATCCAACTCTCCCTCTTGGTGTCTGATCTCCTTGCCCTATTTTTGGGGTTCTGCTTGAGGTCAGCTGCTGGAGAGGACGAGGACCAGAGCCTGGCCCAAAGTCCACTGCAAAGCTCAGAGCACCAGGGTTGGCTTCGGTGGACTTTGTCAGGTGTTACTGCTCTCTGAAGGACTGAACTTACCACGCGGCCAGACATACAGGGACACCCTTTTACCCAAGAAAGATTGCATCCTGTGCTTCCCGAGCACAGGTTTCTCTGCTCTCAGCTTCACCCCAAAACCCCAGTTCCTGTCCGTGCACAGAGGCAGTAGGAATGACACCCAGGAGGGTGAGCCCCAGCTGCACCGATGCCTTCAGCTGTTGGCAGTTTTATTTTTCTTTTAACCAAGAAAGGAGTGAATATCTTTTGAGTCCATTTTGGATGCATTCACCTAAATGAATTGGAAATATTTTTCCTCTAATTAAAAAAAAAGGGGGTAACTGTATGTTCTGGCTGCCGCTTCCATCTCTCTCACACACTGTCCATCTACCCTTCCTACCCTCCTCCCTAAGCCAGCTGGCGTGTGCTGCCAGCCGTGCACATCGAGCCCCACGCCATGTTAAGGTGATGGCTGCTGACGTGCAGCTGGGGCGCACGCCGTGCTTGGGATGTGGGTAGGGGGGACACGGTGCTCCCCTCTCCCTCCCAGCTGCTGGAGGTGAGCTGCAGGCACCGCTGTCTCGGCACCTTTTCTGCTCAACATCGGGCTGCTTCTTCCTCCTGGAAGGAGCCCTGTGACTTGAACTCGTCTTCCCAAGGCACCTCTGAAAAAGGCTGTCTGCTTGGTAGCCCAAAATTGGTGCACGTGCCCTGGAGGAGTTCACGTCTCCACAGAACATCACTGCGGTAGAGCTGGTCTCACCCTTCCGGGGAAAATACGGTGGTCTCCGAGAGAAGCTCAGATTGGATCTTTCAACTCAAAATGTAGCAGAAGCAAACCCGCAATGTGCGTGCGGCTCCTGTGTATGCAGGTTCCCTTTGGGGTCATGATGGACGCACAGCTTGGTGTGCCTGCACGTTTTAACCTGATACACATCAGCCACTGGATTTGCTCAGGAAAGAATCTGGTCTTTGTTATCACTCCTGAGAACAAGGCCTTGATCTCAGCTCTGTTGATAGACTGGTTTTCACTGGAAAAAAACTACTGGAATATGGCATTGGAGCCATCCATCTGGCCCAAGGAGTCCCTGCCTGATGGGACTGAGGGCCGTGGATGCTTCCCAAAAGCTCTCTGAGACCCCACATTTTCCCTGCCCTGTGGTGCCCATCTGCTTTCGGAGCAAGGTGCCAGCAGCCTGTGCCCAAGGGTGACAGTGGCGTGAGGGCTGCAGTGGGGAACGAGCTCAGCCCACGCTCAGTGCTCACCTGCACGCCTGGTCCCAGTGCATCTGCACCAGGGGATACTCTTCGTTCATATGCTAATTTTCTTTATTCTGTTTCTTTTCTCCCCTCCACCCCCATTCCCCCCCCACCCCCCCCTTCCCCTCCGACCTGTATTTCTTTCTCTTGTCCCTTTGGTTTTCTTTGGTGAAAACACTTGAAAAGCACGCAAACGCAAACGTACGGTGCCTCCAGGTATGAAGTGCATGTGACTGAAGCTGTGTGTCATGTCACTCCTTGTTCTTCGTTTGGGACTGTAACATGCAAAGCCTTTTTTAATTAAAAAAGCGAAACCAGAAACCTCTGAAGATCAGTTTCTTTCAAAGGAATGAGTGAAAGTGCAAACCAGGCTCCTCATCCTGCTGCCTGCGAACTAACTCCATGCACCTCCATGCACATTTTAGCTATTGGTACACACAGGTGTTGGGAAACTGCCAAAATGTCAATTTAAGGAAGGAGAATGTGAGAGTGCTTGATAAGCTTGCTTTTTTTTAAAGGATGATTTCTTGATGGTCTTACCAACCTCCTCCAAATCATAACAACGCTTAACAAGAAACCTTCCCTGTTCATACTTCTATTTCCCTTCTTCCATCACTCAAGTGTGTTCCTCTTCCCCCAACCCTTTTTTTCCCTATCCATCAGTGTACCATTTATCTCACTTCATGCTGTAGGAGCTGTGCCCACCAGGTTACACCACGTCTGCTGCCTTTGTTTTTGTGAGAGTTGGTGGTGGCACCGTGGGACACGTCAGTGGTAGTGCAGAATTAAATCACAGCAGTGGCCGTGCCTGCTTTTGAGGAGGAGGGAGAGACTGAATGCAGGTCTGGTATGCTAACTGAAATGATCACTCACGATTTCCCCCCAGTAATCCAGTTTGAGGTTTGATAAAGGGATGTTCCATCTCAGCAGGGTTATTATGTTTTAGTTTTTCCTTCTGAGACCTGGAGCCAAGCAGTTATTTGTCCCAGTTATTTCCTTCTGAGGCTTAACTTTTTGGGATCTGACCAACCAAAAAGACATGTAAATGGCTGGGTAAGATTTATTACAAATAACGTTATCTCAGGTTCTGCAGAAAAGGGTATATCAAATTATAGGCATATTTTATATGAGGTAGTTATCTGAAGGTGTAGGAAAGTCAATATTTGAAGATGTGGAATAAATGCAAGCCATTAATTCCACATCTTCAAGACTGTGGGCCAAGCTCTGTTCCTAGAGCAGTTTAAATCTTCACAGAATGCATTAACACCATTAAGGCTGATGTGATTTAGTGCCCGATTTCCAAACCTGGTTCCAGTTTCCACAGATGCAAGTTTTACCACCTTAGTGAATCACACTTACCACTTTGTCTGTGTGCTTAATTTACAGCAAATTGCATCAGTGATTGCAAGTGTAAGATTATGAATGCATGCTACGTCGTGCAGAACAGCAGCCTGCTTTGAGAATTGGGCACTTTTCTACCGCTGAAAGTAAAATAAAACCACAACTCTTCCCTTCCAGTTCTTATATTAAAATATTTTATAAGCTTCATAAATGTTCCCAGTTATGAAGAACAGCTTAGGCTGGAGACATAAAGTCATGGTGAGGGTAATAACTGGCTCCTCGTAGAAACTCCAGCACAGCATGGAGACTCATTTTAGTCCCCATCCCAGTATCCATCTCCTTGTCACCCTCTGCTTAATTGCTCATACTGGGGCTGTTCAAAAAAATCATCATCGTCTCTGTGTGCGTGTTGTGTGTGTGTCTGTGTTTGCTCCTGTGTACTGTTGTGTGCTGCTGCCCTCTTTGTGTTGTGGGGTTTTGATGATGTCCTGGCCGAAGGCATGATATCCCCCACTGTCCCCAAATGCTTGAACGTTATCTGTGCTACCAGGAATAGCAAATTCACTTTCCTTTTGGCTGGGTGAGCCTGTAACTGGAGTTAGTGTGGTGTTTCTCTGTGCAGTTCTGGGGTGGGTAACGGGAAGCAGCTATAGGTACCGCTGGGTCCCCTGCAGCAGCCGGCGATGCAGATGTGTGCTCTGGTGGGTAGCATGAACTGTGTGTGCTCCTGTGGTGTGCAGATCTTCTCACCTAACTCCCCTTTAACCAAAACTTGCTTCCCTTGCTAACAACTGACACACGGACTGGGAGGAGAGAGAGAAAACGTGAGCCGCCCCAGCCGGAGGTCCTTTCTCCATGCCTTTTGAGGACACGATGGCACCAGCTCCACCTGTCCCCGAGCACACACACACCAGTGCAGGGTGCCCTCTGTCCAGCGTGTTATAGCAAGGCTCAGCTAAAGTGCCTTGCAGAGCCCTTAGTTAACAGGCACTGCTTTTTCTTTGAGGTTCTGGTGAATTCATGCAATGCAGTAGCAGTTTTCCAAGCTGCTCTTGTAATGGCAGGTTAGACTGAGTGCTCAGTTCAGATTAAATTTTAGGTCAAGTATGTGGCTGATTAACACACTTTTTTAATAACTGTATTTTCCGTAAAGCATTTTTTTTTCCATCATGAATCTCCCATGCCCACCACCCTACAGCAGAAATAGGGAATCTCCATGTTTGCTTGTGTGTCCCCACCTTTGCATGGAAGCATCTATGGTGGCTCAAGAGCTTGTCACCTTCAGCACAGTGTGGACCTCATATTATGGGCTAGTGTAAAGAAAGGACCCTTCTGGGGTCCTGAATCCTCCAATATAGCTAAAGGGGTCTTGAGCTCTGAGTTGCATCGAAGCCTTGCATTTGTGATCCCAGCTGGAGAAAGTAGGGCTGGTGTCCTGTGTTCTGCTGCTCATGGACTTCTCTAGGAAACTGACTCCCTGAAGAAAAATAGTTGTGCCCTCTTCATGCACATTGTGCATGATTTTTTGTACCACTTTCTCCCATCTCGGAATGAAGCTGCAAACCCTGCAGTGGGTTTGAATGGAGGTGGCAGCCCAACACTCGCACTGCGCCAGTGCACCAAGGTCAGCTTCTTCCTGGCGTCTTGAGTGAAGAGGATCATTAATTCATCAGATCAGGATGTGCTCTTCTCTGGGTGGAAGTGAACAGAGCCGGACTGGGGAGCTGAGCCAAAATTTTCAGGCCTATTTTTATTCTTTTCTCCATACTTAGGATTGGAAATTTTTCTGATTGCCTCAATTTTGTGAACACCGAAGCTGTTCTGCTGAACAACTGCATTTTGAGTATGTGCCTTGCGCATGCAGAGGAAAGGCGTTTCCAGTTGCTTTTTTTCAGTTAGAAGAAAACTGTAAAACTGTGTCTTAATGGCTGGAAAAATGTGGGTATAAATATCCTTGCCTTTATTTTATGGTTAGCAACAGCCCCATTTCTTACAGCACCACAGCCAAGATCAGTCTGTGAGGGGAGTGCAAGAGCTTGCAACCCTTTCCTTCCAGTCCTCAGCTGCAGTTTGGGGCAGTTTGAGTAAATCCTCCTTGCTTTCATTAAAACCAGCGTGGCTTATTTTCCAGCAGATGCAAGCAGACCTTTTCTGGGGGTTGTGGCCCTTTGGGCTGTCACCCCAGCCGCACAGCACCCCGTCCAGCCTACATCCCATCCTCCTGCTCGCCTGTCCCAAGCACAACCACAGGCAAGAGCTCTGCTGACATTGCACCCCCTGGGCCAAATCATGATGTGTAGCATATCAGCAGTTTGATATTGGCATGCTGGTGGCCCAGAAAGGACCCTGCAGCAAGCCACAGGCTGGGCCCTATAGGCCTCGACCCCAAATGCAAAGTCCCAGAGCAAGCTCTGAAGTCGATGCTGCTCTTCCACACCATGTGCAGTGTTCTCCATCCTTCTTCAACACCTCCAGCTCACATCAGTCCCGGCTAGGGCCTGACTGAGGATATTTCAATGCAAAATGTTTATGGAGCGAGCCCCAGGCCTGAAGGCCGCAGCGCGCCCCCTGCTCTGCACAGTCAGGCTTCCTCTTCTGAACCAAAGAAAGCAAAGGTGGAAAAGGGAGTTAATTTAGTGGCTTTAAACACAAGATAAGGAATAGAAAAACAGTGTAGTAACTTGTTTTTATTTTTATTTTTATTTTTTTAATTGTTCACCAGGATTTCCATTGTCAGTCTCTTTTTAATGAGAAAGAAAAGAAACCCCGCCTTCCTCCCAGATCCAGATGGCAATATGTGATTATGCCTCTTTTTGGGGGGCAAAACCTGACACAGACAGCAGGGAACCAGCTAATCTTCACCCAGAGCACACTGCCTTTTCTCCTGGGATGCTCCTGGCCTCAGGTCCCTGTCCCCTCTGCCTCCCAGGCTGCTCCTTCTCACCCATCTCCCTGCCCCGAGAGCAGCAGGGTTGAATTTTCTCATCTGCCCCCAGCACTGGAGCCTCTCTCCACTTGATACACAGCCAAAGCACTGACCTCCAAACAAACCACTGCCCACAGGCAATAAAACAGCTCCTACCATGGTGCTGCTCAGAGACCCTGGCAGCCTCTTTGGGAGGTTAAGAGCCCGGTGTAGCAGACAAGTTTCTCTCTCTCTCTTGCTGTCCCTCTTTTTCTTCCCCACCTCTCTGCTGCAGGGCACTGCTGGAAGCAGCAGGCAAACCCCCTCCAGCCTTCCCCAGCTGTCCCCAGTTGCAGTCGGTGGCACAAAACTGGTTCTAATTAAAATGATGGGGCAGCGGGTAAAGCTTCCAAGGTGGGAGGCTCTGAAATCAGCTGTGCCTGAATATTAACCACCTTTCTTCTCTCCCTGTAGACTCATCCCGCCTCTGAACCAGCTGGAGCTCCTGAGGAACCTGAAGAGCAAATCGGGACTAACATTCAGGTTAGCAGCAGAGTTAGGAGAGCTTGGAAAGCTCACACTTCACTACCTTTTTTTTTTTTCTCTCTCTCTTTTTTTTTTTTTTTTTTCCTCCCCTTTCCTGCCTTTTGCATATTGACAACCTTGAAGATGTGAGAGGTTTTGGCAGCTGATCCCCATGGGTTGTTCAGCGACCTCCTCCCTATCCCTCTTCCATGCTGCACATGCATTTCTTCAGCCTAATTTGTCTCTGGAGTAATGTTACAGTGCTTGGCTGAAAATGCAAAGTTGTATTTTCAGAGGTTCAGATCAAGGTAGTGTTCCCAGTTTTCCTCTGACCTTTCTGTTCTTCACCACCCTCAGAGGAGACTCAAGCCCACGATGTGCTAATTCATTCCCTGTTCCCTCCAACCTTTCCTCGCCTCCCCCTGAGAGCAGGCAAGATGTTAGTGGTGAGAAAAAGAAAAGGGACACCCTCGTAGTCTCTTGCCCCAGACCATACAGCATGTCCTGATTTCCTATGGCTTCATAACCAGGTTAAAAAATCACAGATCCCACTGAGTTGGAACACAGCACATTGTGGTGGTGGGTCAAACGAGCAGTGTTGCTGTGAGCATCCTCTGGGAAACCATCCTGGTTTCCAGACCTGCACTGTGAATCCATCAGGCTAAGCCTGACGTTTCCGTGTGACAGAACAGTCACCATAGCCATGCCCCATGCTCTCTGCTGATCCCACAGCATCTCTGTTGGGGGAATACCAATCAGTGTCTGCAAGAAGCATCACCTCAGTTTTGCTAAATTTGCTGTGGCGAGGTATAAATTACTGCCCCAGAAGGCCAGGCATCCTGCAGCTTAAACATGTACTCAGGAGGGGTCATTTCTTGTGGTTCAAGCAGGCCAGGGTGCCCTGTTTGGTGAAAGGGGAGCTGCAGACCCCTGGGGACGGAGCAGAGATGCTGGCCTTGCTGCAGCAGGGCTGCTGGGCTGGGACAGGACCTGCCCCAGGGCTGCATGTCCCTCCAGGGCATGGAGATCTGGAGGCAAATGGGTCTGATGGCCAAATTTAAAGTGTGAATATCTGAGATAGTGCCTGGGGCCGGGTTTTGAAACTGGGCAGAGCAATGAGTAGAGGGCAGGGGGGCGTTTTTTAGTCTCTCCAGGCCGCTGCCTTCAGCACAAGGGACAGGATTCGGGGTCTGTGCAGATCTCAGGGTCTAAGCTCGGGGTGGAGGCAGGACCAGGGCTTGTACAGCATCACGCTGCGAGGCAGTCGAGCTCCTCCTGCCCAGCTCTTCTTGCAGTCCAGTTTGTCCCCACCACAGACAGTCTGTGCCAGGTGCCAGAGGAAGCAGACTTTTCTCTGCTGAGATACACAATCTGCTCCCTCTCTTCTGGAGTTGCAAGGGCAAAGATGGTTCAGGGCTAGTTTTTGCAGTTTCCTGCCGTGAAGGTGTGAATAGTTGAAAGCAGAACAAGTTTTCCTCATTGCTGCAGAGAAATGCCACTAAGCTGCCTGGTCAGTGAAATGGATTTTTTTTTTTTTTTTTTTTTAGTGTGGCCTTGTGTTGGCTTGTGGTGCTATGTCTATCGTTTTGCAGGTGATGATTTTTCAGGACAATCAAGTGGTTTGGGATCTCAGAAGGAGGCTGACTGCAAAAATTGTGGCTTCCTACTCCCCCAGTGGTGCCTTTGGCAAAGTATCTGCCAAAGGCTTTGGAGGCAGAAAGGATGCTAGGGGTGCCAGGGCCTTGGGGCCAGGGGTCTGTACCCCTTCCCACCAACACCCCCCCCAGTACTATGCATTAGCACTGGGAGTGAAGCTGTGCATCAGCAGGTCTGATATTAGCTCTGTCCTGATGGCCAGGAAGGATAACGAGATACCCCAGGGTCACAGGAGATGTTCAAATCCTTCCCTACATGCAGAAACCACTCAAGGCCACGCATTTCCAAAGGAAGGGGCCGCTCTCTGAGCCCACAGAAGTCCTCCTGTGCTCACACAAATCACACAGCCGTGAGGTGTCTCAGTCCTGTGTAGGCACAAGGGTGGGTTGGGATCAACTCTTCAGCCCTGTGCATTGTATGTGTCTTCTCTGAGGTTGTGTGAGTCTCCAGTGATCTCCTGTCCAGGCCAGAAACTCCAGGAATTAAGCGCTCCTTTCCCTCTCTTCTGTCCACAACTTTCCACTTAGCTGTATTGTTTGGTATTGTCTTTTCGTTATGTTTTAACAGTGAAGCAGCAACATCTGTTGCCACCTGACACCATGCTAATGTACTATTGCTTCTGTTTAAAGGAAAGAGCAGCAGCCCGAACCATCGCCAAGGTCTGTATCACTGCCAGCACGCCATCCCCATGCATTACCCGTAGATCTCTATGTACGTGTGTGCGTGTGTGTACCATGTCGTGGCGCCATCGAGGGAAGCATTCTAGGTATTGACGTGCTTTTTCTGTGCTGTGGCAGTCCGATGTATCTACGTGTAACGCTGGACCTTAAATCAGATCTTCCTTCCAGTCTGCCTGGGGCTGTGGCTGTGAGGATAGCGAGGCTGTAGGGGGAGAGGGACAGCGGTGGGCAGCACGGGGAGAGCTGGCAGACCTTTATCCGGGGCGACAGCAGGGCTCTGGTTTATGCTGCTTTCTTTTCTGAAACGGTTTAAAGCAGGCTCAGGGAATGGGTGATGCCTTGCCTGTGTCCTCGCCTGGTGTAGTGGGGATGTGGGAGCACAAAGCCATCACCGCCGAGCTGGCAGCTCCTGAATGCCTCTGGCTGCAGGGCACAGAAGGGCTCTCTGACACAGCACCACGTTGGGTGGCAGAGACATGCTGCCCTGCACGTCCCTTTGGCCTCCCACCCTGCGGGTGAAGCACAGCCCCTGCCCTGTCTTTGAGTCCACGTGCAGAGAGTGCTCAGCTGGGCACCTCCGAGATGTGGCGAGCACCTTCCCAGGGCAGCCACAAATCTGACCTCAGGGAGAGCTTTGGCTATTCACATGTCCCAGGGAAAGCAATGGGTCAGGTGTTTGGGGTACTTTTGGGATACTTTTTGTCCTGTTAGAACTATTTAATTCTGGAAGTTTTCCAGTTTTCCTCTATTTTCCCACTTCTTTCAAGAAGTAATTCTGGGATTGAATCTCCTTTTTTTTTTTTTTTTTTTTTCTTTTTTCTTTTTTTTTCTCTTAGGAAACAAGACACAAAACTGATGATCTGTGGAGGTCATCTGCTTGACTTTCAGATTTTCCATCTCATATCTCAGAACTTAGCTAACAGCTTACATATTGCAGATATTGCAGACATATTTTTCAGAAGCATAACTACAACCTGGCATTTTGCAGATGTAACTTTCTGCTGTGCATTTTAGCTTATCAGAGGACAGAAACTAATTTTTTTTTTTCCTAGCACAAAATCCAACCAAAGATGTCTGGGCAGATACAGTGCCAACTAAAGGAAAGAAATTTCATCTTTCCTTCTTTGTTTCCCTCCTTCTTCCCTTCCTTCCCCACCCCCTATTCTTTTTTTTTCTGTCTTTCATTTGAGCTTTTCTTTGCAAGCAGAACCTCCATAGCACTCCATCCACTCCCTGCCAAGTAAATCAAATCACCAAGATCATGTTTCAACCAGCCAGAATTTTTATTTATTTTTTGTTCTTATTTGGGGTATCTGCTAGTGCAGTGAGAGTGAAGGCAGCCTCCATCCAGCTTTATTAAAACAGGGCAGTGCTCTCTGGGAGCAGAGCAAGGCTGAAATCTTGGCCACCCGCCCTTGGCATCAGGAGGGACAGAATTTTAACCCCAGGCCCTGGCTGCTTCGCTGCCCCATCTCAGCCAGCGCGTACACTGGCTGCATCAAAGGGTAAATCCATGTTCCTCGCAGCCACATGACTGCACCGAGAAGAAATCTCTCTTCAACCCAATCAGCTCCATAGCTGGAGAAATCTGAGGACGGATGGTCCCTCATAGGGTCACACCAGCCTGCGTCCCTGCAGTCACAGGCACTGGTCTTACTTCTGCGGGTATTTCCCTTTTTAGCTCTGCCCCATCTCGCAGGGTTCATTTTCAGCACTGAGTACAATAGGTTAGACGGAATATTTCTTCACAGAAGTTGCAGGTTTTTCCTGTTCAATTTCAAAATTGCTTTCTTAATCTTCTGTCGCAGAAAGAAGTAAAAATAACCTTTCACTGCCCTTTTTCAGAGTATTTCTTACTATGTATAGCTTCTTCATCAGGGTAATATCCAAACACTGCTTTCCTGCTCCTGTATTTGTCTCTGGTGACACCGATGGTGCTGTTGCCATCCCTTGTAAGATGCTAAACCTGAGTCCAGGAGCACTTAAGCTGAGGTCTGTGGAAGCTGTATATGTGACCACAGAGGACTTTCCAGATTGTTCAGCTCAGCTGACAGAGCAAAGCCAAAGCTCTTTGCTTCTTGTTTCATTAGGACAACATCTCTTCTACCTGCTCCCGCTGCCCTTTTCTTTCTGATAATTTCTCAGACCTCAGGAAGGCATTTTGCACGGATGTCCCTATATAAAGAGGGGCCCCAGGCCAGCTATTTTCCTGAATAAAAATCTCTGAATCTCTTACAGTCCCACCCACTTTGATTTCCAGCAGCCTCACAGTGATGCTCAGTGTGTCATCCTGACACAAGAAAACTCATCCCCTTTGCCAGCCCACCCGACAGGGTATCACCCATCCGTGGTCTGTTTTACGTGGTGACCTTTTCACGTAGGAAACTCCTCGGGTTGAATCATCTCTGCTAGCAGGCCCCAGCACCGTGCTGTTACTGCTTTGGCCAGTGAAGGATTTACCACTTTCCATTTCACTGCAGTGGTGAAATGTATATTCTCTCATCTAGGCATAGCTGCATTTTGCTCTGATTGTGCCTATGTGTAGGGAGTGGCTGATTTCCTATATCCACAACAGACACCCTACAAAGTCCTTACAGCAAATAGAAC